GATTTTCTCAGGAGATTTACCTAGAAGAAAGACTGCAGAGGGCACTGAGTGTGTCCTGGACATGTGCACTGAGTGTGTCCTGGACACAAGCAGTTTGCAAGATTCTGGTAGACTAGACAGCTCAATTTATATTAGGCTCATCTGGAGTTTTGTTTGTTTTTGGTTTGTTTGGAGGTAACAAAACAGCATAGAATAGTATAGCAGAACCACCCAGAATTTGCAGTTTTTTATTTTGCCTTGGCTTTCTCTGACTAGAAGCCTTTAGCCTATGTGATACATGCCTATGGAGTGTGGTGACAGATTTATGGTTGCACCTGCATGTTACGGTTGGTGGCATATCAATCAGTTAGGATGATAAGAAAAGGCTGTATAAGGTAAATTCTAGGCAGGAAGCTGGAAAAGCAGCCATATCCATGGGGAGGAAACGTGGTAGTCCAGGGTCAGGGAGACCAGAACACTGAAAGGCTTTAATCCCCCTGCTGGAACCTGATGGTAATGACCCTGAGGTGCTGCTGGCCCTGCTTCCAGAGTGTCAACGAGTCCTACAAGAAAAACCTGATGGCCCTGAAGAAGTTTGTGATGGTGAAATTCCTCAATGATTCCATTGTGGACCCTGTGGATTCTGAGGTGAGTCACTACTTAGGCCACAACATGCCAGGAGACTGTAGGAGTAAACTGCATTAAAATACAGCTGTCTGCTGGGAATAAACCTTCAGTTCCTTCCACCAACCTTTGTGTAGAGCAGGGGTTTTTCACCTAAGGTGCATAAATGGGACACTGAGGGTTGTAACCCTCTACCGCCACCCCTACAGTTGTACACACAATTACATAATTGCATACCCTGGGGGAAGGGTCTATAATTTTAATCAGATTTTCAGAGCTCTAAGACCCAAAAAGTTTCAGAACCACTAGCCCAAAGTCCAAATTCCTAAGCTTAGCATTCAAAGTCTTCCTTGATCTGGCTTTGACCTATCTTTGCAGCCTAATCTCCCTTCACTACCCACTTCATACACTCTTTGATCGGGCCGTATTTTACTACTTATAATGCCCCAAACTTGGCATGTGCTTTTTCTCTTGCATGCCTTGGTTCATGCTTTTCCATCTCTAGAATGCCCTTCCTTGGCTTCTCCACCTGAGAAAACTATTCATCTGTCAAGGCCAAAACTTAAATGACATTTTCTCCAGGATGCCATCCTTATTCCAAGCAGAATTTGCTCCCTTTTGTACAATCATCAGCCTCTATTACAGCACTCATCACATTATGTCAAACCACCAGGGGTTGGCAGACTACACGACACAGGCCAAATCCAGCCTGCCATCTGTTTTTGTATGGCCCATGAGCTAAGAATGGTTTTTACATTTTTAAATGGCTGAAAAAAATCAAAAGAATATTTTATGACATGAAAACTATATGAAATTCAAATTTCAATGTCCATAAATAAAGTTTCATTAGAACAGTCATACTCCTTTTTTTTACATATTGTCTGTGGCTGTTTTTGTTACAGTGGCAGCAGTGAATAGTTGAAACCACATGTCTCTTAAAGCCTAAAATATTTTCTATCTGGCCATTACAAAAGTTTGCTGACCCCTGTGCTAAACAACGAATTGTTTCTGTGCTTCACTAGACTGGGAGCTTCTTGGAAACAGGGATTATATACCCATCCTTGAATGTCTAGAGTTCAGCACAGGGATTTTCACAGGGTAAGTGTTCAGTAAATGTTGGAAGCAGAAATTCTGGGGAAGTGGAAAGCTCTTTGGAAAGATTAACTCATCACTCAGGATCCACTATTAAAAAGAAAGGACTTAAGACATGCCCTGTCCATTTTTTCTCCTTGCTATAGTCTCATGTTCAGTTTGTTGGCAGTCTTAGTTACTAGCCAGTGTGTGTCCTGAGGTCTAATTTGACCTTATTTCTTCCTGTTCTCCTACAGTGGTTTGGATTTTACAGAAGTGGCCAAGCCAAGGAAACCATTCCTTTACAGGAGACCACTCTGTACACACAGGTAACTGCAGGGTGTTTCTGTCTTGGGATGCTGGTGCTGTCTTTTTCAGATTCCTGAAGCTGCTACGTTCTTTGGTGCTAGAGCTCTGCCTTGTACACCTTAGAGCACCAAGTGCTCTTGAGGCATCTGACTCATGTCTAATATGGGGAAGGCTTGTTAGGATGTTGATTTGTTGATTTTTGCATTAACTTATCAAGCACTGGTTTAAAGAAATCTGCTACATCCTGAAGGTACAAGGACCTGTACCTCATGGTTTTCAAGCAAGAATAAGAGCAACATCATCTCTAACATCTACCTTTTGATAAAAATGTTTAGAATCAGCTTCTTTTGCTAAGGTACAGTCTGCTACAAATCCAAGAAACCCCTGTGTGTAATGAAAAGAGAAGAGAGGGGTGTTACTTTAAAACATTAATAGATACAGAAGTCCTATTTTTAAATTAGGCACTGACAAGGGGAGCTCCTCCTGCAGGACTGAATGGGACTACAGTTGTGGATTTTGTTTAGCAGTAGGTCCTGTTTCTCAAGCAGAAGTTGCAATATTTTACCACAGTTCTGGGGCTTTCCACACTCTGGGGACTTTATGTTGGAGACAGACTTTCTGAAAAATGCACAAATGCTACATCTGAACCAATCACCTTCTACTAGAATTCCAAGTCATTTCAGAGACCATTTATCTCTTGGCTTTTCTCTTGCATTTAGTGTCTCACCTTGGGTGAGACAAGAAAAAAAAAGCTAGGGTCTGATAAAAGAGTTTTAGAAATTACAATTATGAACTTCCTTATTGTGAAACTCAAACCAATGGTAGCCGCAGCAGAAGCACTCTCTGGCGCTGTCATAAGTGCTCATCTTCCCAACCAGAGGTTGTTCTGCAGCACCCAGGCTATGGGTAATGACATTTTCAACTGTAGGATATGAAAGTGTCCCAAGTTTGTTATCTAAGTGTTGTGTTTTAAATTATCTAGCTAATGTTCTCCTGTCTTGGGTTCAGTCTTACTTAACTATGACGTTTTGAAGCAGTTTTGTCCATGGTTAGCCCATCCATAGATAGTCCTCCAGCTCTGGGAAGCTTTTCAGAAAGCAGAACATAAAACTCTGTACAGAACATTCTCAATTGTATAGACATTTTTAATGCTTAGAAAAAACTGGAAGGAAGCATCCTTTTTGGCATTTTCAACAATATACCTCAATTTTAATACTTGGGGTAAATTGCATTTTGCGAATATATCTCATTAACGTTCTGTTATATTACTGTTTTACTCTAAAACTTTTCATTAAGTCCCTTGATTAAGTATGGCCTCTCTCTATGCAGGATCGTCTGGGACTAAAGGAAATGGACAAAGCAGGACAACTAGTGTTTCTGGCGACAGAAGGAGACCATCTTCAACTGTCTGAACAATGGTTTTATGCCCACATCATACCCTTCCTTGAATGAAACCCCTGCAGTTGCAACAGAGCTCAGGGAGCCTGACTCTTCCAAACCCATGGGACAGTTTCCTTCATGCCCAAGCCTGAGCTCAGATACAGCTTGCAACTAATCCTTCTCTCCTGTCATCATCTAACATGCCCTACTTGGAAAGATCTAAGATGTGAATCTTATCCTTTGTTCTCATCCTTTACCGCCTCCTATCACCATATGGTGTTGAATGCAAGTTTAATTAGTTAATAACCATGGGATTGTTTTACAATCTTTTGAAGTGGTCAAGCTAAGTCTTAGGAAAGAGAGTCTGCTGCAGATCATTGCAGAACTGTGCCCAGGCCCAGAGGAAGCTGAACAAACTAAAGCAATGAGATAGATTCTAAGCACCAACACCTTTCTCAGGAAAGTCTAGCCAGATTTCAAGTAGAGAAGGCTAGTGCCCAGGCCTGAGTTACTCCTGTAAATACTTTGTTTTGCTGGTAGAAATTTAGCTAGTGCTTGGAAAAGTATAGCTTGGATAATGCTTCCACGTAATTTCCTAAGACTACCTTCCTAAGTATGTTGCTTTGTGTGCTGTCTTAGCAATCATTGGATAAATTCCACTGGCCTACCATCTTGTCTCTGCAGCACCTATTTTATCTCCTCGGGCAGTAATGAACTAGTTGCTCTGGCACAAAAGGAGGAAGTTGCACCCAACTGGATTGCTTAAGAGGAAATGTACATCTTGTGTAACTTAGAGTGAGGGGGTGGGTGAAGAAAATGTAGGAGTGGAAGTGAAAAATGAGGCAGCTAATTCTTTCCGTTCCATCCTTGACTAACCTGCCCTTTCTTAATATTACTAGTGGTCTGGATGCTGGAGTTACTGCAAAAAGTGGGAGGAACACTGTGAAGAGATCAGGCTTTCTAACTTCCATTCCCCAAAACCGTATTTACCAGCACTCTCTAAACTGTTTCTGATGTGTTTTGTACAAAAAGGATTTTTTACTCAAAAAGGCTGGAGAGGGCCAGCCAACCCGCCACCCCACCCCCCAAAAAAAGAAAAAGCTTGGAGAATATCGCATACTTCCTTACTCCTCCGGGAGATCAATCCACATTAGGATATCTAAGGACATTAAGAATTGCTGTTATAGTAAGAAAAACTAACTTTACCATTTCCTACAATATTTGAGCATGGAAGTCTTAGCCCCCAACCTGTGAAAACTTATCAGCACTTTTTGGAAGACTGTTCTGTAGACTGCCAGTCTAGAGAAATGATTAGCTATGCTTTGATGAAAGAAACTTGTTAGTGCTGTAAAGTTTACCCTTTATGATTTTTTCCTTTTGCTCTCTCAAGCCTTAATCAACTACAAGATGAGATTAAGGGCAAGAAGTGTGTGTGTGGGGAGGGGGGTGTGTGTGAAAATAATTTTATGAGGTTGTCTAAAATAAAGAGTAGTTTCTTATCCTTGGTGTCGGGGGGTGTGTGAAAATAATTTTATGAGGTTGTCTAAAATAAAGAGTAGTTTCTTATCCTTGGTGTCATTTTTCCTTTCAATATTTTTACATCTCTGTACAGTAAATATCATAGGTAAATAACTAAGCAAGTTTGGTATTAACTTTATTCTATTTTCTCTATAATTTTAAGTACATAAAGGTTTATTTCCACAGGCCTCAGGAAATGGGTATAAGTCACAGGACAGTCTCTCTTCCCACCAAAAAAAGTTGCATATTTGAAAAGTGTTTGTCCTACAGGGAAAAAACTGAAATTTACATTAGCAGTGCTGTGCAAGATTCTTACATAAACCAAGACCTAAAACCAGCCTGCAGTGGAGGTTTTAATCCTCTGTTTAGGTGACTAGACAGAACCATAAGCTGTTGAGCATGACCAAGGAAAAGGAGGCAATGAAGAAGGATGACAGGCACTGGCAGAGAAAGAGGAAAGAATTCCACATTCCTTGGAATGGTGTGTTGGGTAAAAAAAAATCCCTTTTTATATTTCCCTTTCTTTTAAAGTCATCTCTGTAGGAAGGTGCTGGGAAGGGATCCCAAAGAAAGGGTTGAAGACTCCTTTAACTGCCCTGAATGAAGGGCACTGCTGTGGAAGCTGCTGCCGACCTCATGGTTTAGGCAGACCCAGGATGGAATGCAGAATGAAAGGAATGCTTATAGGAAACAATTCTGCTTGGAATGCTAGATGGCTAAACCTCAGTATTTGGTCCAGTGCAACCCTCATCTCACTTATCAACAGTGAAAAATTAGTTTAGTTAGGAGAACCATCTGAAATCACACCAGCTTCTGCTACCCTCATGCTCATTGTTTGAAAAAGATTAGTACGAACAGTCTGATCTGTTAATTCCCAGGACTGTTTTATTCTTCCCAAAGGACTGTTGGTAGAATAACCCCCAAAAGCTGAAAGCTAAAATGCACCAGTCCTTAAGAATGGACTGGTGGTGTAGTTGAGCTGATATGGAAAAACTGAACCTTCCTGCAGAAGATCAAGTGACCTGCTATCCCACCCCAAATCTCAGCCTGAGGTATATTTCAGTGAAGGCAGGTAGCTGTGCTTCTCAGAGTAGAGAAGCAATTTAAGAGCAGAAAGGTAGAGGAAATCTAGAAAAAAACCGTCTTGATACAGATTTATCCCATGGTGTGAAGGGAGAGGGCAAAGAACCCAGTGGCACTTCGCTTATCCAGCAATTTCTGTCACTGTGGTGACCAACTTCTGCCCATTCCATAAGGTCTTGAACTGCTCAGGGACTGGGAACTCATTCTACAAATAAAGAAGAGACAATAGGTTTAAATCTGAGCTAAAGAATGAGCTGGGGCTAAATCACATTTTTCTCCCAAAGCTTGCTTCCACTTAAGACTTAAGAGCAAGGCAGGACGTAGTGAGAGACAAACTGAACCACCAGGCCACGCTGTGTTCTACCGTTCACTGTTCTGTGATCTGTGATCTTGGACAGACTGTTAAATCTATGAGGTATAGATGAGAATATGTACGGTGTTATAGCACTAGCCCAGCAGGTGCTTTGATTCATTCCCATTTTTTTTTTTGCTACCAAGAGCTCAACGTAAGAAAGGCAGAAACCACCCTCTGGTGCTTACTACATCAGACTACCTCGCTTCTGTGTGCTTGTTGGGTTTACCTATTCAGTTCAGAATGTCAAACAGCTCTCTCCAATGCAAGAAGTCTTCAATCCCTTTTGTTTTTAACATCATACTACTGAAGGGATCAAGAAACTTACAAAGTCACCGCCTTCTGTAGGAATGAGGACATTCATCTCAGAAGATTTGGCACTGACTATCTCACAATCCAGAGAATTCTTGCTCAGGTAAACATGGCAGCCATCTGTTTTGTTGATGGAAATGGTTGGCACTTTACCCATTACCTGCAAAGTAAACCAAGAAAACAGTCCCATCAGTTGGGAAGGACAATGGTAAGTTGCGGGGAAAAGCTTTCACTGTTTCACATGATTCAGCAACTATAAGAAAAGCTCACAGGTGCTCAACAGATACTGGATACTAGGAGCAGGCTGGGATGGGTGCTGGAAAGAGCTCTCTTGAGCCGACTCCTTTTCTGACACATCCAAAGCAGCTCAACTTACACACTTTGTAGAATCAGATTCCCACAAAAGCAACACCTGTGGGTCTGCTGTATCTCTTTCAATTAATACCTTGGGGACCAAAATAAGGAGACAAAATATCAAGTTACCTGAACTTTGACATCCCTGCTATTGATTATCTCCACAATGCCCACCACGTCATCAAATACGAGACCAAGTTTCTTACAGTTGTCTAGAAGAAAGGGAACAGAGGACGATACTATAACTTTAAAGGAAAGTAATATAGGGCAGGTAAAATGGTTCCAGCCCTCTCAGGCTCTAGGACAGAGCCTGCCTAGACAGTGACAAATACTCACCTACTGTAATGGAGTTAATTTTGCCCTTGACTTGCAATGTTGTGTTGACACACTTGTATAT